AAAAAAAAAAAAAAAAAAAAAAAAGAAAAAAGTCGATGAAATAGAAATGCAAAATAAAAAAAAAAAAAATAAAAATAAAAGAAAAGAATAGATGAAAAGATAGGAAAGAGCAAACAGACAAACGAATGTAATCGCATCGATTCTTCTTCTGTCGACCGATGAAACGAGGGAATGACTTAGAGAGAGAGTTTCGATTCGCGACGTTTAAGATTCATCGCGGTTTTATCGAAAGAAAGATACTCGTGACACGTGGTCGTTGTCGACAGGCCTGCTTTCGAGCCACGTTCTTCGCGACTCAGGATTCACTGCAACCGCAGCTTTTCTGCCTTCCGGAGCTCTAGTTCCTTACGAAAACTTTCCTCACGCGACATTGTGATCGTAGATATTACTCTAGACACAGATTTTCTATTTTTTTGCATCGACGTGCCTCGCGAATCGTGCGCTTTGCGTGTGTTTGAGCTAGCATCTGAATGGCTGATGGCATACGGTGGCGTAGAATTAAGCCTGGACCAGGTGGGACCCCAGGTCTCCTCACCGGCCATTTTAAACTAAATCCGACGAACGAATCCTTTTAAACATGTTTTTATCCGGAATTCTATGCCACTGTGCAACGTTGCAATTAGATGTTTGTTAAAACGCCGACTAGACGAAGAAAGAACAATAAAAAAAAGAGAAAAAAATCCTTTGTACTTGAGACTGCGTATTGTCAACACGTTCGTGGTTTTAATGTATTTTTGTACCGCTCGAATGTGTTCGATGCAGAATGTGTCAAATACAGATGCTTTTATCATTCGTTCTGATTCGTTCTTGTATTGCAACCCTATTCCTTCATCGGCCTGCGCGATGAAAAATCGAATGGAAAAGGAAAACGGAAAGAACGGGGAAGAATCGAAGTAAGCCTGTCGACGCTGAAACGACACGATTGGTCATCAATCATCTCGTTTAGATGTTTGCACTCGCTGGTAGAAGGCACAGGTCAGGCTGCAGAACCTCTTCGACGAGGTCCTTTTCATCTGCCAGTCCTTTAGACGTTGAAATCGTCTAAACGATACGCGACATTTCGCAGACTCGTTAAGATCGTGATCAACGCGAGAAGATCGACGTGGATTGGTCGATACGGAGGACACGAATCATTAGTCATAGAGCAAGGAAGGACCCCGTCGTTGGCCGAGATATCATTTAAATTTAACTTGGCACGGTCTTGCGTATCACCATTAAAATCCATGGCTTGAGTCCATGGCTAGAATTTCACTGTCACATAATATGTACGTGATGAGATATACGACACCTATTCTAGAAGCTGCAGCTTTCGTAGAATGCACACATGTTTACTGACTGACTGAATTAATCGAATCACGTCAGGTCGAGCTACAGAACCACCGTCCGATAATCTTGCGATTATTCACGAAAACGGTGAACAGTCATCTTTAGTCACGACCATCACGATATCATTTGCAACAGTTTTTCAGACATCACGCACGATTGCTTTTGTAGCTTCTCGAATCGAATACCACGCATAGAAAAGCGGAAAGAAACGAGTCCAGAGATACCGATTGAAATCGTGTTTAAGATCGTTCACGACAAACAAACGCGTCGAGGATCTACGAAGAATCGTGCGATGAAAGTTCATCCCTGAGCAACGGAAACTGAAGAAACCTCTTGTGCCTTCAGGTGTTCCTCCTGGAGGAACAGCGCGCTGAAGATACCTGGAGAAGACACGAAGACAAGTCTTACGTTTTCCTCCTGTGCCCACCCTCCATGGATACCATTCTCAATCCCGAACTTTATATCGTTAGAGTTCAATTCAGAGCATTGATAGTTGGCCTCCTGCTCCATCAGATGCTTCTTCATTGCATTGCCAGTGTCCTTTTGCAAGGGCCTGACTCGTCCTTTCCTAGGTAGGTATCTCTTCTAACAGCGTACAGATCTCCCTAGCTATTCTTCTCGAACCTCTTAAGATGTATCATCACGAGTTCTACTTCGATTGCAGTTTGTCTAACGTCAGACCTCGATCAGCTGTACTGACATCACCGAAAACGGTCGCACCCGGTTACCTATCTTGCCTATCCAGTCATCACTTGGACATCTTCCTCTCAGCCTTAGATCTATCCTACGCGACTGCCTTGAAATTCGACTGTCGTCCTGGTCTGAAATTCTTGGTGCAGAAGGTAGCCAACCTGTCCCAACCGGCGAATCTCTATCGCCAGGCGGGTGTAGCTTGGACCATCAAGGTCGTTACTCTGTTCGAGCTCTGCCTTCGCGAGATAGAGTACACCGAGGCAACCCTGGAGACCGTCAAGATGGCTCTCACCTCGAATCCCGAGGACAGAGAACGTCGCAAGGATTCCAATCTTCAAAGACTCTCGAAATACCTCAGACAATTACGGATCACGTTCGAGGAACTCTGCGAGAGTTACGTCGAAGTGGTCTTGGACGAGGATGGAAGACACGCGAGAGTAGACAGCTTCTGTGAGAAGAAGATATTCTTGCCGGTGGCTCAGCCGGATGATTTCCCAGAGATGACCAGGAAAGAATCGGCCAATGACCGACCTTTGGTTACTCCAGCGCCGGTGAAGCTGCCGGTAGACACGGAGGATTCGGACGACCTGCTGGATGAGGAGGATCAGGAGGACCAGGCGGACCTGGAGGACGAGGAAGTCCAGGAGGATCAGTTGGATCAGTTGGATCAGTTGGATCAGTTGGATCAGCTGGATCAGCTGGATCAGTTGGATCAAGACGACCAGGAAGATCAAGAGGACATCGAGAGCTATAATCCCAATTTGGATGTCCAAAGCGGACTCGAGGAGCTTGGGCCAGAGTGCGAAGACGACCCGAGGCCCTTCAGGTTGTCTGACCTGGCAGTGGAGTATTCTACTGACTCTGGTCCCCAGTCTGAACCGGAAACCAACGACTCTAGACCTGTTTCCAGGTTGGGATCTGTCACCGAGAAGGCCGTGTACTCTGACAGATCAGGTGGTACCACCTCCAGCGAGGGGTACATCGATGGGAAGTACAGTTCCACGACACCGGCACCGCTGCAGCTGATCAACGCGCGAGATAATTTGTACTACAAATTCAGTCCTTTAAGGAGACCCGAGTTCGGGGAATCTTTTGGAACTTCCGTGTTGGAAATAAAGGCGATGAACAGCGGTCTAGCCTACGACGAGTTCAGTGTATTCCAGAAGACGAAGCTGGAGAGGAGAAGAAGCGACGCCTGTCTGTTGTCCAGAAAGAGCTCTCTGAGATTCGTCGAGCCAATGGAAACCGACGATTCCGACAGGTTCGTGCATTTCAATGCCAATACCACTCGGTGCAGATCGGTGATAGAGTTGAGGAAGACAGCTGGGTCAGCCGTGTCCTGCTCCTCCAACGATCTCGAGATGTCGCCACGCGTTTCGTCCAAGATCGAAGAGAAGGAGGACGAATTGCCAAAGATCTTCGACAACATCGACGAGCTGTTGCGTGACTACGAGATCAGTAAACGGGGGTTCAGAACCAATCCGTTCTTACGGAAAGAGGAGGCCGAGTCCAACGCCGAGTCTGAGGAAGTACCGAGTCACGAGCCCCTGTTCCAGCGGAAGACTAACGTGTGCAAGGACAGCGAGGCGCACAGAAATGCTTGGGCAGAGATGTTGAGCACCGTGTTGGACTGGACTCTGGCATTGTCTGTAAGTCGTAAATATTTTGTCAAGCCGTTTGTTATTCGACCTCGCGTCTTATCTTATCTAACTAGTGTTATTCGAAATATTCTTTGCAGGATGATCAATTAATCCTACTGCTTCCTGTTTTCGTAAGCGGAGTGAGAGTGCTGACTCGGTACGCTGTTGACCAGGTTCTCAAGCAACGATTGTCCTCTCTGTTCCATCGCATTGCCGTGCTGTACGGGTTGACGAGCAATTAGGAGCAGCTTCGATACATCTGGGAACAGATGTACTTCCACGATTAACCCTCAAGTTCCTTGGTGCTATTCGAACATAAATCGAGCATTAACCTGCGCGAAGTTCGATCGTTGATCAGCCGTCTCAGGCGTCCTACAAAGTTTCTATGGTCTCTCGAGAAACCTAACTGCTGTCAATATACCTTTGATAACCATCGAATCTTTCTACGACGAGGAATATTAATAGACTGATGATCAGAGTCAATCTACGAGATTAAGGCAACGGATTGTACGTTCCAGGATGTTTGTCACGAAGACCATACCCGTCTTAACGTCGAACATCCTCGCTCACAGGGAAGACGGATGAAGATGATCGAAGACCATTCTATCGATCCACGGTTCCACCATTGAAGGAATTTCGATCCCAGAAATTTGACAAGCGGAAAGATTCGACGAAGCCGTCTTCATCCGCGATTCTCTTCGAGCAGCAACGGAGACAAAGGATCGCGTGGTTAGCATGAAGACCAAGGACCATCGGCTGATCCGCAAACGAACTGAAATTCAGCAGCTTCGCGAAGATCGGAGAGATCCCCGATTCCAGCAGTATAATCGGAAACGTCGTGAACACGACGGACGCAGCCCATTCTCGGTTCCCTTTCGAAGGCAGGAAAGAAACCGTGTCCCCTTTTCAGCGTCGAGGCCTCGCCTATCTCTAGTTTACCGCGCTCAGACGCGTCGACACGGAGAGACAAGGATTTTATTTACGATCCACTCTGCACGCACATCTTCTCGATTCTCATTTTATGCTCTTTGCGCTTAACTGTAGTTTGCGGTTCAGTCGCAGAGTCGGATGTACCGGGGTTTTGCTTCAGCCAACCGTCGGTCGCACACACGCGTCGCGACCAGTTCGATACATTTCGTCAGCTGCTACGAACATTGCCTAGCGATTCTTCGACGTTTTCCAGAGAATCCTAGAATTCTCTCTCATCTTTTATTTTCAAACCAAAGGGAAGAAAATTCGATATTAGTCGAGGCTGGAAAGAATCTCGGAACGATTCTTGCGCGAGTACCGATGTTTCCGGAAGTAGATCAGGAACTTCCACGAAAGAGAAGAGAACAATAAACGAAGAGACGTGTCTTCTCGTGGATTTACTTCCTGAAGTATTAGTAAGATGTTATAGATGAGCGAGGAGGTGTAATTAGCGAGTTAAGAGTTAAAGATTGACGTTGAGTTTGGAAGGTAGAAAAATACGCCTAGAACAAAAGTGTTATTATCCTTCGCGCGAATAGTTGGCGGGGGAATTTAGAACGGTAGAGAGCTTTCAGACTTTTGCCAAAGAGCTCTTTGACGCGATGTCATTGCAGACGGGACGAAGAAACGAGGCTATATTTTCCTGTAAATAGCGCGTCTTGCGGCTCAGCCATTGCGATTAGACGGAGTTACGGATAATTTTATCGTTAATTCCTGCGTTTCAGATATTTAGCCGACGACTAGTGGTCTTTAGTTTCGTTTGTCGCTTCGATATATATTAAACATATATTTTGTATATCGTTTGTAAGTTAGGGATGGAGGGTGAATAATTGACTGTTGTATAAATCGACCCGGTGCCCCACGAATCTCCCAATTCTGTCCTACGAATCCATCGGTGTTGCAAGTATCGTTGAACGTCAGACCGTTTGAAACGAAGCAAAGAGGGGAAGGAAAAGAAATACCAAGGAATTAGGTTACTAATTGATAATAAAACGTACCTACGTAGACCCAGTACTCCTTCGTTCCTCGAAAACAACACACACACACACACACACACACACACGCAGAGCAGAAATGAAGAAGGGAAAGGAATTTTATTCGAAGCCGAATATTTTTCCCCGAGCGAGAAACGGAACCAGATGACGGATTGACATAGTATTTTTAATTGAAATCAGCGTAATCCAGCACGATAGATACGTATGAGATGTACGAGCGTGAACCGTTCTACTATTTCCAGTTAATAAAATTGTACTACCGAACTCATGCTACCGAGACGAGGGAAGATGGAGGCGCAGAGTGTGCCTTTAAAAGATACCATTTACTCTGCATCCAATTTCTCTCCATTTACCAGACTTTTTTCTCCCCTTCACCGACCAAACGATCGCACGATCACGAGTGAAACGCGAGTAAAATTCTCGAAACGAAATTTCGCATTTTTCTTTGAAATTTTCGCGGCACTCCTCAGACGCGACCGAGTGGAATCGATCGAGTTAACCGGGAGGGAAGAATAACTTTCGGGCAGGATTTGCTTGGAAGCTGGATGAACTGCTACAAGTATCAAAGGTGTCGACGATTTCCTGCGAGACGAAGTGCATTTCAGTTCGTTTTAACGGGCTTAGGAAAGGGCGGGAGAGTCTTGTCTGCGGTCGAGTCATCCTCGTAAAGAGGGAAGCTTACGAGCGACGGCCGCCTCGGCTTATTCCATGCTTTTATTCCTGTCCCATTCGCCGAGGTAGTAAACATCAGCGAAGAGGAAGCGGGACAGGTCGCTGGAAAGCGTGCAGCCTCCGCAGGAAGATGACGAGCGCAGGAAGACCGCGTTTCTTCGGTGAAAGTCCACGCATAGATTTCGTTTCGCCGATCGCTGTCACTCGCAAACTCATTTTCCGATCCCTCGACCCTTTGCTTCGAGCATCTCGCATTTTCCAAGGTAAGAAAACCATCTAGGTGTAAGTTTGAGGTTGAAGATTGCGTCGCCGAGTTAAGACGCGTACGGGTAATCAGGAAAGAAGAGATCGTAGAGGAAATGGCGAAGAAATGAACGAAAAAGGAGAGATCGAGGTGCATTCCTTTCAACCTCGTCATTACAGGTTGACGATCACACGTTGGACGATCTATTAATTCCTCGTTCAGTTCACGATTTAGCTCGGAACTCGAGGTTTTGGCTACTTTCTCATAATCCTTTCGATCATTGCGAGATGCGAATTTTAAAAATTTCCGAAAGCCTGTAAGCTTGGTGATTCGAGTTTCTATTATCTATTAAGTTTGCTATAAATTCGTGATCGAATTTCGTGTGATTTCTATCGATCGTGTGTGATTATTCGAGAAAAAGACTAACGCGTATTGGAAGCTGAGAGACCTCGATTTTACTTTGCGGAAAATACAAACGAAAATGACGTATCTGTCAGCCGGAGATGGCAAAAACGTGACAAAGACGGGGCAAAGCAGGGCGGATTGAAAATAAAGGGTGGCAGGGCACTGTGAAGCGGCGACGTAGACCGCAACTATCCATTCGTTCGTTATTTCCAGCATGCTTTAAATATTAAATAGAGCTCGCTGTGCTCGTAAAAAGGATTACCCGTGCCCTCTGTGCCAGGGAAAAAAAAGGACAACCACACCCCTGTGGCTCAGTTTCCATGCTGACGGATAAAGATTTTTCTACTCGAACTACCGAGAAAGATTAATTCGTTGATCCCTCCTTTGTTGCGTTTTTCCTGCTAACGAACGAGACTCGAAGGATATAACGAACGCTGAGGTGGTCTAGATGTTTTCAATGACTTCTCGCGAACGTTGTCTCTGTCGGATTCGCGCGAACCGGTGCTTCTTCGTCACGGATCTGGTGAACGGGGGATGCAGGAACCTGTTCAGGCAAGATTTTATTTCATGGAAAATATCTGTATTTACAATGTTACATGACTATCTTCCCACTTTGCGGATACACGTTCGCGCTGGCTCGGTTTACAGCCGAGATCGAGCCCTGATTCCTCTACTCCTTCGCGATACTTTTTCTAAACTCGCCATCTGCAAATGTCGTCTGTCGTCGAGAACCTTTCTAACACCTCGCTACTTTCTCACGAGTCCGTCGGTCCACGTTGTCCACGTTCCAGTTCTCAGTCACTGTCGTTGCTGTCGATCACTCGCGTCTGACCGCGAAAAATCGACCATTTCCTCGAGCACTACCACTACCAACTGCGAGTGACACCACCAAGTCCCTAACACGATCGCTTCACTCTCCTAACTTCCATTTCGACCGTCGATATCACATTTATTACACCGGTACTGTCTACAGTCCATCCAAACTGCCCTCCAAAATTGCATCTAGTCACTGGACCCATCCGGGATCCCTTCAGTAAGGTCTCCAAACGTCGTTCCTCTGCTCGTTCTCCTCGCCCATCACACCGATCTCCAGCCTGTTACTGCTGATCGTCAGATTGCTACCGGCGATCGTCACCTGTTCCTCGCTCAGGTCCCCGTGGAGGTGCAGATGGATCTGGTTCTGATTCACCGTGCTGTACAACTGCGGATAGAGGACCATGGGCGCCGGACTGATGTAATTTTGGCTAGGATTGTTGTAATAGCCCTGGTAATTCGGGTTGTAGTTGTGAGAGGCGACCGGGACCGGCGTGGCTGGCCCCGAGGTCCAGGAACCATAGTGGTAGCCTGGACTTCCGCTGCCGGTTCCTCCGCCAGCAAAGATGTCCGGGTCGCTGGACTTGCTGGGCACCAGAGGCAACGAGGACGACGAGGTCCCGTGGCTCGGATACATGGAGACGCAGTTCGGCGTGTACGTGTCCTGCTGGCTGTCTGACGGGAGAACTGCAAGATTCAAAATAGACTTTGTGTCCAGTCGGGCCAGGTTAGCCAGGTCTCGGCTGAAGCGGAGGTGACTCGGGTGCTGCAGTCGGAGGCGAAGCGTGGATCAAGCGAGGAAATTCGATTGATACGTGCAAACTGTAGACTGAGCGGTGATTATGCGGAAGGAATCGATTCAAGCGTGTGCCTAGCGGAGTCGGAAGTATAGAGGATCGAGAAAGATCGGGACGAAGTAACGAATTAGAGAAGAACGTTGCTATCCGGCTATCGAGGTGTGCGTGGCGAGTTTAGGAACGATGAAAACGAGACGAGTGAGCGAATTATCGGACTGTTTACTCCGTGACTGGTTGCTACGTCACACAGAAGAGGAAAACGGTTTTCCTCGAACACCACTGCGTCATAACGGTGTCGAGATGAACGGGTGTCAGGATTTTCCTCGGGAGACAAGTGCGGACTGCTAATTCGCAATTCAGAAAGTTTTTTCGTACTCACCGGTTGGCAATGGTACCGGTTCCGTGGTCGGATGATGAGACAGGGCTTCCCCTGGGTACGAGAACGCTCCTCCGGGGATCGGCGAGAACGAACCACCACTGCTTACCGGAGGAGCCGGATAGGACGATGCTGCCGATGGATAGGTCCACTCGGCTGTCCCCGTACTCGTATCTGCAACGAGAATCATTATCACGGTCCATTAATCCCTCTTGAAACTGACCTTTCGGTACAAGTGCATACCGATAAAAATCGAAGAATCGGATAACGATTTGCGAGTCTTTGAATATTTCGCAGCAAGTGCACTTACTCTGCTTCGTCGAGCGTACTCGTTACTTAGAAATGATTAAACACACAGGTGCAGGTTTTTAAAATCCGATAACACGCTTAAAGGGTTAACGGGGCCACTTGGCATCGAGCGAGCCGAGAAGCTGGCCAATCCACTACTGCCATCGCGAATAAAAATGCCGGATAATTTTCATTGCTAAATCCGGATTCCGGCGAAAACGCTCATAGGCAATTGACTCGCTTCTACTCGTCGCTTGTAAAACGGTAACGGTGTTCTGAGTGAGTAACTCCGTCAGATTAATTGAAATGACTCACAGCGTGCCGGAAGTCGAAACGATTGCTAGAACTGCACGTCGGTGTCGCGTTGTATAATAAAATCATATTTCCTCCGCAATTCGCGTCCATCGTGCGTCGATCGTCTCCGAAATTTTCGACGAAAATTTTCCGCCTGCCCCCGAGATAGCGGCGTCTACGCCGTTGGCGGCGCGAGACCAAGTAATTATCCGATATTAATTATCATCTCGTGAAATATTTATCGCGGAGTTCGCGACTTCCGTCGGACGTCCATTGAATTTCCAAGTACCTCCGCGGGGGACGAGCAACCGGTAAAAGTTACGGAAACAGAGAGGAAAACATCGTCTGCTGACTCACCGATGATTCGGCAAAATTTTACCCGCCATTATTCCTTTCGAGCTGAACACGACGGACGCGATTACGAAATGCGTATTCGCCAGAAATGGAGATTAAAGTTGCGCGAAAAGGCCACGATCGACACGCAATATTTCGCTTCCATTTTCATTTTTATTTTTCTCTCCATATATATCTTTCATACTTTTTTATCGCTCCTCTCGATCAGCCGTTTCAGCTTTCATTCGACAACTGTAACACTATAGTCCGCTTCCCGTTGGCCTTCGAGTATTTACGCGAACAATCGATCATTTTTATCCATCGTACGTATTCGTTGGCAAATCGGAGAAGAGATCGCCGAGTGATCAGGCGAGATACGAGCAGCGAAATTCCGATTAAGAAGTCAATTAAGGAGTTCAAGGAACCCGCTATCACAGGTCTGTCTCACGATCGCGGAGGTGCATACGTGATGACTGTGGACTGGCTGAGCAGCGAGAACAGTTGACGGAAAGCCCGGACATTGGTAATTCTCGTCGTCCACTCGATGACAAAACACGATTTGTCAAGGGCGAATCCAGCTACTTCCAAGAAAACGTTTATTACGGGGAAGTTTGCAGTTTCGAAACTCGACGGCACTTCTTGGGCAAAAGATTACCAAAAATTTTTCGAAATTTCGTCGACAGACATCGTCATTGGGACACGTGGCAAAATGACATTAAATTTGCATCATCAATGAAACATCGATGTTGCGTTCGACCTATCGAACGAGGAAAAATTCGAGTTTCGTCAGGCATTTCGTCGAGCACTTTCTCACCTACTGGAACTCGAAAGGTAAAAAAATGCGATCCTTACGAAATTATTTCACTCTTCCATGTCGCGGGGCTTTTCCTGCTCGAGTGAAAACCGCCGATTCAACCGAGCAGATCGCGCAGTTGCAGAATAAAATCGAATTTTGCAGAGATACGCCTTGTTCCATCGCTCGAGCCGCGTTTTGCACGCTCGAAGCGAGAAACTTATATTTTACAGAGCTAATGGAAAGCAGCGGAACCTTTCGGGTCAAGGCGGGGAAGTCGCAGAGAGAATTGATTAGAAAACCGTCGATTTTAATAGCCGATAAATCACAGGTTTCGCCATTGACTTCGACTGCACGCTTCGTAATCCTACGTTGGATTATGAGGGGCTGCTACGCGCAAGAAACAGACGGCGGTTTTGTAATTAACGGTTGCTAATTCCCTCGTAAACCTATGGACAGGCCTTTACACTCCGCGAGCCTTCCAAGTCAAATTATTTAACCTGCCGAGGCTGAAGTCAATGGCAGCCTCTTTAAAACGTTTCCTGTATTTTATTTTATTGCATTAGAGCGTCATACGGCTTCGGTGAATGATTAAACGAATTTCACCTCGTACACCTAACCGTTTCGTTTCTCGCGTATCGATCAGTCGCTTATGCAAATTATGCAAATACGTTATGCAAGTCCACGCTGCCTGCAGAAAAGATAACCAGGAATTCTAGACGATTGTTTATCCCACGAGATGAGGATCGTCCGATAAAGCTAGATGTGCAAATTATTTAACGTATGAGATATACGAATCGATATAAAAGTAAACGAGGGAAATCCTTGGATCCTTCAGGAACGAGGAGCAAGAATCTATAGAGACGGTTTAACGAATGTGATCAAGAGAGAGGGAGGGGGGGAGAGAGAGAGAGAGAGAGAGAGAGAGTAAGGGAAGTCTCCTGAGCAGAGCTTCCGAGGGACTTCCTTGTCACCCATTCTTTGACCCTCGAAGAAGGCACTCTCCCCGTCGTGAGATCAGGTCGAGGTCGCGGGTGGAGGATCCTCTGGCAAAACTGTCGTTACGCCTACCGGCCGTGGAAGGTCGAGGTCGTTTCGGAATTCTCAAAGGGGACCGCCGTGGGGATGGGGGCGTGCGGGTGATTACCGAAAATGGCCGTGTATTTGCCGCAATTACCGGAACAACGGTAACAAAACAAAGCACACCAGCGTGGGTCGACCATCTGTTGGATAATAGTCCATTTCGAGCCTGTTCAGGGAAGACGAGGAGATGCCTAGTTCTATGAACCACCGCTGGGAAAGAGGAGATCCGACTCGCCTGACGATCATCGGACCAACGAAGATATCAGGTGGATATCTAATCATTCGCGGTATCCGTTTCTACTCGCGAGTGGTGAATTTTTTTGCACAACCAGAGTCGTAAATCCAGTCGGTCGAGATGGTCGAGAGCAGGATGAAATCGTTCCATTCTCGACACTTGGAAACATTTCGTAGTTTGGTCGTTGCGACCGCAGACACCAGAAGATTTGCAACAGGGAGAGCGTGGACAAAGTGTAATCGAGGATCAAACTTTCCCATCGTCGTCGATCCTCTATCGATCGTGTCTCGGTGCCGTCACGCCGGTGGTCACCGTGCTGCATCGCGAAGGAGACGCTGCTAAGAATCGCAGAGGTGTAACCCCGGCGTTGATCCTGACCGAAGGAACGCACGAGTCCTGACCAAAGGAACTCCGAGTTGTTTACTACTTCCTCCTCTTCGTGTCTCTCTTCCTCCCTCCATGGATCTCTGTCCGTTGCTCTGCGGGTGTGAAACCACAGTGAGGTGGTTTTGGTGCTTAGTCTCCCGACCAGCCATCTACTTAACGAACCGTCCATCGACCGCCGTCATTTCGTCGTTTCTCGGTTTCTCTCCCACCTAACTCTCTACCCCACACCCAGCTTCGCGCTACCGCTAGTCGTTCCTTCGATCCACCTCATCTTCTTCTTCCGACGATCGCCAGCGATCCGCCGATCTCTCATTCCGCGAACAAACTGCCAACGAGGTAGATAGAGGTTACCCTCCGTTTCCATGGGTAACCTGCAAGGTAAATAATATAGAATACCAGAGAAGTTGGGACACTTTGAGCGTGCCAAAGTCTAGAATACCAGGACCAGAAGCTGGAATATCCGAAGAACTCGTCCTTCCTACGTTTTAAGGCTGCCCGGAGCATGCTGGCCTCTGGTCTGCGTCAAGAATTCCGAGAGCGACCAGGTGAACCCTCGACTATCCAAGTGCGGAAGAACGCAGTCGCGTCTTGGCTCAGCCTCCGGATACCCGTGGTCCAAAGGTGCTCAGGACTCGGGAAGATTTTGGATGCAAGGATCAGGACTTTCGGCTGGAAGTAAATGGAAAGTTGAGAGAATGCGAGATACTTTGGTCGCTGGACGACGACGTGGAAAGTACGGTTCGGAGTCGAAAAGAGAACGAACGTTGCGAACAACGTCGAACAGACGAAGCCGTGGGGCTTCGTTTCCCACCGAGATAGATGCTCGTTTGGTCGTGTAACGTAAGTCGATATTGCGTCGTCTCGATATTCCTGCTCGACACGAATGTCGACACACGCTAACCGTACGTGTATGACACATATCAGGGGCCCGTGCACACTGGTAAACCCTGCATAACGTCCAGAGGAGAGAGAGAAGTCTTACGCATACGAGCGGCCAGGAAACTCTTGTTGCCTTGCGTATCGCTTACCATCAGCGATTTCTTCTTATACACCGAGTATCCTGTCCCGAGGATAGTGTTTCCTCTCGATAACTTCGGGATCGCGAGCAACCGGCTACCAGTCTGATCGCTAGTGTCCTTGCTAAACGAATAATCCCAGGAAAATCGTCCCCTGACCTATTAGCCTGTGACTAGAACCGGGGTCTATCGCATCAGTCCACAGTCAACCTGTCAACGCCGGGTAGAGATTCCTGCCAAGGTCCTCGATTTATTTCCCGAATATCTGTAAAATCCAGATCCTCTGACGAAATCTAGCAAGTCAGCGCGTAATCCTAGCTTTTCCAACACTTGGGATAGACTTGGTTCGTCTCGTTGCGGTGAAAATACGAAGCAAAATTCACGAAATGCCACGTTATCTAGCCTAATGTAGCCAGCGTTTCTTTATATCACGTCGATAGAACGTGGGAAACGTGAGAAAGTACGAAGGAATGGTGGAGAAACGCGAGTGGAATCGTGCAGTTGGGCAATTTGCGAGAGGAGCATCCACGGTTCGTCAATCTCTCAAAAGTAGGCGGCTGTCGACGACGGTTTCAATGCCCATCATTGCTAATTTCGTTCATCCTGCCTGCGTTTTCGCGCCGTACTCCCGTTCTTCGTTATTTCCCATTCATCTCTGCATTCATCTGCTAGGCTGGATCCCCGGAGGAAGGAAATCCGTTTAACGCGGTGTCGGCCGCAGAAGAGGCGCGTTTTGCACGCACGC